AAAATAAACATACAATGGGTGGGTGGGGGGGGAGAGAAACAGTCTTCCGCATTGTGGAAGATGTATTTTGGTTCTGAAAAAATTAAAATGTGGAAATTGAACCATCTCGGGCTCAATTACCTATTACCCATCTCAATGAATTAGAGCAGCCCAGGCACCAAGTGGAATGTGGATGAGGAAAATGGATCTAAAATGCTTCAGGTTAGGAACATGCAAGGCTCCTCCCACCTGGGCCAGGCGTACTGACCTCGCAGGGAAGAAGGTCTGAGGGCCACATGGGTCACCTGTCCCCCCCTTGGTTTTAGGGGCCCCTCTTCCACAGAAAACAAGGAGTCCTTTCTCCGCTCTCCCAAAATGCCCGTAGCTTCCCAGGGCGCCCCAAACTCAAATGGAGAAGTTACATCTTGATTTAGTGGTGCAAGTCGGAAGGCCTAAATCCCTCACTCATTTATTTATTTATTTATTTTTGGCATCAAATATGGCAAGACTCTACCACTTGAATGACATGGTAACAGACATGAATGACTTGCAATCAAATGGGGAAATGCTCCAGGAGACAAAATCACACCCTATTCAACCAGCACAGCAGCGCTTCCTCTGAGCCAAAGCTCTCACGGGAAAGAGGAGCGCCCCTAGTGGGAAGAAGCAGGGCGAAGTTTGGCCCAGCAGGTCCTTGTAGTTCCCTCTTGTTCAAACTTAAAACAGAGCACATTCTGACACCAAGGCAAAAACTGAAAATAAGTGAAAAGGCTGCTGCCCTCGTGTTCTTAACTCATATAACAAAGGCCCACCTGGCTTTGGACAGAGACCTGTCCATGGCACATGAATGCTGGGTGGGAGGCAACTGCACACTCCCTTCCGGCCTGTTACCAGCATACATGCTTTTTCCTCCTCCCATCACAACTCAAACATTCCCACAGGCCAACAATGAGGGGGCGAGGACTTCAGCAGAGGCCCAGTGTGCTTCCCCATAAGGGGATCTTTCAACACCCACCCTCAAGCACCGCCTGAGGATGAGGTCAGACTCTATTCTATAGGCCATGAAACAAGCTGACTTTGTGATCAGCTGGCCGGCCTCCTGTGAGGCCTTAACGATGGAAAAGGATTGGTTTCGCCCACAGGGACCTCATTCCCTATGCAGGAAGCCTAGCCAAACCATTTTTAAATAAGTACATTCAGGGACAGGCAAAGAAACATTTATAAGAGCCTCTATGAAGCTCCCATTTATAAGAACCCCTTCTCTCTCTCCTCCCTTCCTCCCTCTGCTCTGACCCCAAATCACACCACATACACAGTCACACACACACACACACACACACACACACACACACACACACACACACCACTGCTGGGTCCACTGTCCTAAGTATCTCTGTCTGTTTCTCTGATGACAGCCTCCTCCTCTATAATGAATCTACAATGGCTACCCATTTAACATGAGACCATGGTCAAATGACACACCTGAGCACTAAAATTCCTGAAAGACTTGGTCATTTTACCTACTCATGTCTACTCTGTCCTTCTACACATGTCTGTTCTTGTTGTTTTCTCTTCTCTCTACCTGTACAGTTTAGTCACTAAGAACACATTCTGCCTGGGTTCAAATCCCAACTCCACCAACCAGAACTGAAGACCTTGAGTTAGGTACTTACATGACTCAATGCCTCAGTTTCCTCCTCTGGTGAGTAGAACAGTGACAAATGAGATGACACAGGTGAAAGTTCAGAATAAAACCTGGCACATGGTATCACCCAATAAATACTAGCAATTAAGACACTCATTATCACACAAGCCACTTCCTCCATGAAGCCTTCCCTAGCAACATGACTCAATATCTTCTGTTTCTTAAATGTTCTACAAACATCAAAAATCATAGATACTGGCCGGAGTTTTTCCAGACTATTTCACAGGGCAGGTTAGTCGGATGGTAATTCAAATGTTAAAATTATTATTATAAAAATCACATCCTAAAATATGTACCTGTAGCCCAGCTGGCATGGCTCAGTGGTTGAGCATCTACTTATGAACGAGGAGGTCACGGTTCGATTCCCAGTCACAGGGCACATGCCCAGGCTGTGGTCTCGATCCCCAGTGTGGAGCGTGCAAGAGGCAGCCAATCAATGATTCTCTCTCATCACTGATGTTTCTATCTCTCTCTCCTCCTCCCTTCCTCTCTGAAAGTAATAAAAATAAATAAATAAGTACATACATACATATATACATACATGTGGCTCCAAAGTGATCGCTACCTCCAGTAACAACGTTTCTGATGAGTTTGCCACTAAGAGATATCATATATTTTATATGGTTTCAGATTTTGTTTCTTGGATCCAAAGTTTAATTCTACAGAGATTAAATACTATTTTATTTTTTTAAATATATTTTATTGATTCTTTACAGAGAGGAAGGGAGAGGGATAGAGAGTTAGAAACATTGATGAGAGAGAAACATCGATCAGCTACCTCCGGCACACTCCCCACTGGGTATGTGCCCCGCAGCCAAGGTACATGCCCTTGACCGGAATCGAACCTGGGACCCCTGAGTCCGCAGGCCGACCTCTTGCAGAATGGTGTTGGCTTATTATTATTATTAAATATGTTTTTATTGACTTTCAGAGAGAGAGAAAGATGGGGGGAGAGAGAGAAACATAGATCAGTTACCTCCTAAACGCACCCTGACCAGGGATCGAGCCCACAACCTGGGCATGTGCCCTGACCAGCAATTGAGCCGGTGACATTTCAGTGCACAGGACGATGCTCACCAACTGAACCACAGCAGCCAGGGCTGAAAACTTCTTAAAAGCAAAGAGCAGAGATCGTACCCATAGACATCTGGTCCACACTGAGAGTTCCTATCAAAATACCACAGTGAGTCCTCAGGTCAATCCTTGTTGAATTTAAATAGAACATTAAGTTACCTAAAAAACAAAGGTAGTATGTGGAAGGTTAAGTGGACCTTCAGAATAAGAATTAAAATCTACCCTGTAAGCCCTGGCCGGGAGGCTCAGTTGGTTGAAGCACTGTCCTGTACACCAAAAGGTTTCAGGTTCGATTCTCAGTCGGCGTACATACAGGAGGCAATCAATCAATGTTTCTCTCACATCTCTCTCCGCCCCTTCCTCTCTCTCTAAAATCAATAAACATACGCTCAGATTAGTATAAAAATAAAATCTACCCTGTCGGTATTCCTCCTCTTAAACTTCTTGTCACAAACATAGAAGATTAAACCATGGTAAGAAAAAGACAATCCAAGACAAACACCATCAAGATGAAGTGAAAACTGTGCAAACTAATAAGGCAGCCTTAGTTCTTGGTCTCAGTGCCCCCAAACTTCCACAGCACTTCGTGCCTCCTCTCATATCATCCTTATTCATTTCCACCTTGTTTTATGCCACAGCAGATTATGCCTTGTCTTCTGAATTATCAGCTTCGTTTCTCACAAGTTCGAATGCCCCATGGCGCCCACTGTGGTGCCTTACTGAGTAGAGAGAGACCCACTGTGTGAAGCAATCAGAGGAGAGTCTTAATCTCACAAGTTTGGATAGTAGTTCTGGTATATTCCAGGTCATACAACCACAATTATAAAAGCATTACCTAACAGAAAGCTTCAAAGGGCCTACTTTAACAAATGGATAAGAATATATCAAGTGAGTTTTTTAAAAATGGTGTTTTGATGCACTTGAGTGTATTTAAAATAGTCTGTAGTTTCAGCATAAGGTTGGGGAAGGAACACTTCCTCGGAGTGCTCCTGGGGGTGCCATCTCCATTAGGGGAGACGTTCCGAGAGCACAGAGCACTTAGCTGTAAGGGCAAAGGGGCCTTGCAAAGCTCACTTTCCTCTCCCTTTCCCTCAGAAGGGAGCTGCCCCAAGGAGCAATAACTGTTCCTCTTCCCAGCAAATGGTGCCCCTGCAGTTGAAGCCTGTCCTGGCCCGGTGGACTCCTCGAGCGAGTAAGTCTGACTCATTTTGCGGATCAGTAGTAGGATGCCCACTTCCTTGCAGAAACAAGCCACACTGTCTCATATCAGGTCTGTGAGGGAGAAAGGTGATGTTTGGCATGTATCTGCTAACACCGTAGTCTTTTTGTCGATTTGTTCAGAACCTGGGAGGGGAAAGATGGTGTTGTGTACGTGTGGAGTTTTTTGGGTTTTTTAAAAATATATTTTTATTGATTTCAGAGAGGAAAGGAGAGGGAGAGAGAGATAGAAATATCAATAAGGAGAGAAGCATTGATCGGCTGCCGCCTGCATGTCCCCTACTGAGGATCAAGCCCGCAACCCGGGCTTGTGCTCTGACCAGGAATCCAAACCGTGACCTCTTGGTTCATAGGTCGATGTTCAACCACTGAGCCACGCCGGCTGGGCAAGATTGTGTTATTTATTGGACTCCCTCAAAAACCACAACACATCCCCGCCCCCATCATCTGGCTGAATAATAGCCTACTATGGGGAAATTCCAGAAAAAAAAGGTCCTATATGTGTCTCTATCAGCATCACATGCCAGGCCTACCTCTACATACATTGCTCGAGAAATGGCTGGAACTGCATCCTCACCTCTGGAGACACCCACGCTACAAGTAACATATCCAGAAAAGTAAAAATCGCCCTTTAGCTGCCTCATTACATGTGGAATGATCACAGGCTTTATCATACTTCCCCTACAGGCCAAATTAAATGTTTTATATCAGCTACTTCCTGAGATACTGGCAGCCATCCTTTGAACAAGAAAAAACTGTACATCTAATCAGAAACGCTATAAACAAGGCTAAGACAAAATATGCAATCCTCTCCATGAATAGCATTAGTCTGCCTCCACACTACAACTAAAGATCAGGAAAGCCTTAAAGTGGCTTCCCTGAAGGTTTGGAGAGAGTGAGTGTACCCAAAACCACACTGGGGTGGGTGGGCCCGGGTGGGTGGGCCCATCTGCTAAAGTGGATATTTCCCACACACCCTCATCAACCATCAGAAATGAGAAGAGTTGAAACAGGGCAGACTTACGTGCTCTTTCATCTCATTAGCCACGGTTTGTGACATCATGATGCAGCAGAGGACGGCGACGAGAATGAAGTAGAGGGCATACATGAAGCGGGTACTCCGGGACTGTCGGATCTTGGGGCAACAGCCACAGCAGAGGGAGCAGCCAGCAGTCCCACAGCAGCAGGCCAACTGAAAAAGAAACACAGAACATCCTCTTAAAGCCACTGCTTTATAAACCTGCTAACCCCAGCCCTCTGTGGGTCAACCTTTCAGCTACCATTTTTCTGAGCCATCCTGCCCATAGAGCATGCTGGAACAGTTTAGTATGTGAACAAAGCTTTCAGCAGAATGGGTTTAAGGTTGTCTTTAGTGATAAGCATTAAGGTTTGGGAGATGCCCAATAATTAAACAGGAAAAGCACAAGTCACCTGAAGCACTATAATCATTACTTTTAGGCAAAATCAAGATTTCTGGGGTCGGCTAAAAGCAAAAGAGGCCAAGAACTAGAAAAAGGCCAAAGTGAGGTGAGGAGAACATGAAAAACAGGGAATCGGGCCCAAGAAAAGGACTGTCAAAATCCATGAGCAAAAGAATGAATTGTATGAACACCCAGGCACATGCTGGGATGTAGAGGCTATGTATGCTCGCACCCATCCTCCTCTGCAGGAAATAATGGGAGTGTCCAACTTGAAGCTCACAGGGAATAGATGCCTCTTACCCACACAGTGTTTTCCGCAGCTTCACGCCCCTAATGTAAGCTCTCAGGCTAATGTGCAGGGCATGGGCTCAGAGGAGCAGAGAGCTCCTCTGTACCATTAATAGCACACACATCTTTTATTTGGGGAGACCAGCTCTTTTTTTTTTTAAATCTCTGATTGGGCTTTATTGGCAGCTATACATTTGGGGATAGTAAATAAAATATGGATTAAGTTTCCAGGTTTGAGTCTGGTGCTAATTTTTTTTCTTTTCAAAGACTATTTTTTAGAATAGCTTTAGGTTAACAATAAAATTGAGAAGGCAGTACGGAGATTTCTCATATTGACTCTTACTCCCATACATGCATAGCCTCCCCCATTTATTAATATTACTTATAAGAATGGTACTTTGCTGTTGTTGTTAACACAGATGAACCTACATTGATATATCACTATCACCCAAAGACCATGGTTCACTTTAGGGTTCACTGTATAGTCAGTCAATGGGTTTGGACAGATGTAAAATGATACATATCCATCATTATAATATCATACAGTGTATTTCCACTGCTCTAAAAGGAAACTAGATCTTTAATAAAGCACAGGGCAATAGCCCTAGCTGGTTTGGCTCAGTGGATAGAGCGTCAGCCTGTGGACTGAAGGGTCTAGGGCAGGGGTGGGCAACCCCTGGCACGCGTGCCAAACATGGCACGCCAGTAACTTTCGCTGGCACGTGAAACCCTCTCTTATAATCTTCCATTTAAAATTTTTTTCTTAATATCGACTTTTTTATTTTTCAGATAAATTCAGTGTAGGTGCATCTTAGATAAATAAATAATTTTACATAACATGTATACATTAAAAAATAAATGTATTTTTCATCATCATATACTGTGTTTTTGTCGCTCGAATGAATTTTATTATTTCTTCAAGGTTCTTCACATACGTACACCTTAAGAGATATCAAGTAGGCATAACATGTTCTCAAAAAATTAGGGTTGGCACGCAGAAGAATTTTGAGTCAGAGATTTTGCTGGTTTTGGCA